TTATTTAATGAGCTAACATGAACTAAGACTTGTATTTTTTAAACAAAGATTAATAACTTCTGTAGCAAATGTAGCTATTGCTCATTGTGAATGTTAATGCATTAACTAAGGTTAACTAATGAGGTCTTATTGTAAAGTGATACCTATTGGTCTTTATAGTTCTTTTGCACTTTAATCTGTGTAAAACTTTTAGCTTTATACATTTTTCTGTATTGCTTTATTGCATTTAAATCTTCAGTTATTGTTGTTATAAGAAAAAAGTTATTAAACCTGTTATACTGTATTATGACAGCACTTTTTAAACTAAATTTCAATACCGTGATAATACCGTATACCGTGATAAAAGCATTAGCAATTATTCGCAACATGAAAATTTGATACCGGCATATCCCTAGCTGAACGTAGTAAACTATCATATTAACATTTAATCAGTGAGAACTTCTATATGAATTTGTGTGTGGGGTGTGTGTGCTGAAAAACTAGCACTGTGGGAACTGTGGTCCATGGCCTGTCTCATCACGCTCTATCTGTAAAGTAAACCGATTGGCTGATGTTACAAACTGTGTTATTACAAAATGCTTATGGAATCATTAGTGTGGCTATGCCAAAAAAGTTATTAGGATCTGTGGAAGAAATTTGATTAATATGTTAGGGTATGTTTTATTAATATGATATGCTTATTGAACATTGTGTTATGTTTGCATTTTCTGTATTGCTTAGAGTCACATGCTTCTTTGCTGATTTAACAGAACAAAGAACAGCTATTGATCTTGAAGGTGTGTGTGACAGTAAAGAGCACACACGATCCTTATTCTGATGTGGAATTGTAATGGAATGGTAAAAGGGTGTTGGTATGTGACAGGAGGGCCTCCACCCAAGGATAGAATAAGCAAGTCTAAGAGTGTGGTTGAAAATACCGTCATTGGCCTAGAGAGATAACATTCGGAGAGATGAGATTTATAAGAGCGGAAGGATGCCCTCCCTTCACTGTCACACTCTGCAGCCACTCTGAGTGACTGTATGACTGCTGGCCTTTTCTTGCAAGAAAATAAAACAATTGGTATATTTGTATCCTATTCAGAATTTTTTATTTTTTATTTGCCACAACAGGATAGGCTGGGATTCCTTGGATGTGCCTCTTGGACCAGAGAGCGAATGGTGACTGATCACGCTGGACGGAGTAGTTCCAGCCCTACCTCGTAAACTTGAGAGAGAGGGGCCGACCACCAGGGTCCAGGAGAAACACCACTGGAATCAGCAGGTGAACTCTAGTGGCATCTTTCATTTCAATTCTCTGGTAAGAGACAAATGTTAATTAATATTGAATAAAAAAAAAGAGAAAAGAGAGAGTGAACTATGCTGGCTGACTGAAATCTGTGGAAAAGAGTAGTGAGTTTGGGAAACTCGAGGTCGGGGACTAAAAATTAATTGGGTGCGGACTGGAGGGTCAGTCCTAGAGCTCTTCCTGGCCGATTTTAGGTGAATAATCGGATCTATTGGAGACATCCAATAGATTATTTAGAGGCGCCAAGAGAAAACCAACAGACGAAGTCAGCCGACACAGATTGTAGAGGGGAAAAAAAGAGGTGCTGGTTAGAGGAGTGAACAGAAGTTTTATTTTTCATCTAGTAAATGGATGCATGACATTAGATGTCTAGAGAACAACAATTTTGGGGATTGAGATATAAGTAATATAATAATTGGGTTTATGGAAAACAGTAGAAATAAGTAGGACTGAGACAATAATGATAATACTTGTTGCATCTGCAGACTTAACCATTTGATAGAGGAATACTGTAACAAGTAGCTATAACGAAAAAATAAAAATCTAATTAAGTTAATATTATTATGAACTTTGACAGTGCATTTCCAAAATGCAAACTGTTTTAAAACAGCTTTCATAAAAAACAGCTCATCATAAAATGATGCAGGGTGGCCGCGGGTGCTTAAAAAGTCTTAAATATATTTTTCCTAATAAAAGGCCTTAAAAAGTCTGAAAATTTCTTACATTCAGATTCGATAGGTCTTAAATATTTTTCGTCGCATTACCGCAAAAATGTCTCCAGTCTGACGGACCCAATGACTGATCATTGATTGGACAGAAGATTTTTTTTTTTTCGCGGTAGTTATTGCGTTGCGTCATCAGAGAGAATTGAGGCAGCAGGTACCGTAGCTGTAATGGGTAAGTGCAAATTGAATGATAAATGGCTCGAGAAAGATGAGTTCTGGTGGTGGTTGAGGCCGGTGCCGGGAAATGTCTACGAGGCAAACTGCGCCGTTTGTAGAAAATGTTTTAAACTGGGTACAATGGGCATCAAAGCGGTGGAATTGCACACACAGAGCGGGAAGCATAGGGAGTATGCGAGTGCCCGTGAGAAGCAGAGTGCAATTGAAGGTTTCTGTTCCACCCTTACCACGAGCAAAGATGTCACCACAGATGTTGGAAATCCACAGCCTACAATGCCATCATCTGACCTCCGTACAGTTTTTGGCTCAACGCCAAACAACAAGGGTAACAAGCCATCACTCATTCAGGTCAAATTATGGGATTGAGGAGGTCTTCAAAGCTATGTTTCCGGACTCAGGGCTTGTTTAGACATTTACGTGTGGAAAAGATAAAAGCCGATATATAGCTAAGTTTGGACTGGCGCCATATATAAAAAAAGAACTAATAGCCGAGGTCAACAGATGTGGTGCTTTTGTGATCATGTTTGATGAGACCCTGAACCAGACAACTAAAAGCAAGCAGCTGGACCTTCATGTGCGGTATTGGTTAAATTAACGTGTTCAGTCAAGGTTCTTTGGATCTCAGTTTATGGGGCATGCAACTGCACAAGATCTACTTCAGCATTTCAAAGTAAGTTTTCTTTTAATCTGTGTATTTATCAATTTACCTATTAGAGTGTATCATGTAGAAAATGTAGGCTAACGTAAGGCCCACAGTATGACAGTGTTTTTACAACTTTAGGTTAACAAGTATATAGCTGAATTGTAATTTATATAATATATAAGTTATATATAATTGTATATAGTCTATAATTGTGTATGTTTTAGTTAAGTATATAGCTTAACTATATATTTAAATGCTGTACAAAATGTTCAACACTGTTACTGTCCCATCTTAAGTGTAGTCTACTGATTTGCCAAGTGAATAACAACAGTAAAGGGCAGTAAATGTTAATAATCTTACCAGCTGAGATGAAATTACTGTAATGCATTTTAGAATAAAGCTTGGTGTTTTACACCTGCCAAAGTATCTTGATAAAGTATACAGACCGATATAACCTACATTCACTGTGTGGCCAGACTCTGTACTGGTTTTCTGGTTATAAAAATGGTTCATGTTGCTTCATTTTTTAAAGTGTCCGAGATTAAATGTGTTGACTGTTGTTTGTTTAATGTTTACTTTTTTTATTCCCAGGAGTGTGTGCAGCAACTTGACCAGAGAAACATGATTTCTGTCTCCATGGATGGACCCAGTGTCAACTGGAAGTTTTTTTAACTGCTCCAGCAGGAACATGCAGAGGCGTTTGGAGGTGCCCAGCTGACTGTGGTCGGGAGCTGTGGGCTCCACACACTCCATAATGCCATCAAAAGTGGTTTCAGTGTCTGGCAAATGGAGAAGGTGCTCAGGGCACTACATACAATCTTCCATAATAGCCCTGCTAGAAGAGAGGATTTCCGTGTTTCCCTTGCCATTCTGTGGGCATCGATGGATAGAAAACCTACCAGTCATCGATAGGGCTAATGCAGTATGGCCAATGATCGTGATGTACATAGATGCAGTGGCACAGAAAAGGCTTCCAAATCCAAGAACATCATCCTATGACTCCCTCGCAGAGGCACGAAATGATCCTCTCATAATGGCCAAGTTTCACTTCTTCATGGCTATCTCCAGGACCTTCTCCACCTTTCTGACTAAATATCAGACGGATGAGCCTGTGATGCCATTCATTAGCAAAGACCTGGTCATGCTCATGAAGGTAATAAATAACATGCCACAGAAGTAGTATATGATGTTTCCATTTGAACTCAATAACATTAAGACTTATTTACATTGTACTGTATATGTGTACTATATATGTCATGTATATGTTCTCAGAGCCTGCTAAAGAGGTTCATCAAGGCAGAAATCCTTAATGACATAACTGCACTGCAGATGGTCAGATTGGACACAACTGACAAGAAAGCAAGAAAACAACTAAAGAATGTGGACATCGGCTTAGAAGCAGAAGCAGTCATAAAGGTGTTGTGGCAAATATCAAACAACGGTTAGGGTACAGGAATTTGCGTTTAGTCAGTAACATTTAGTCAGTCTCACTGTTCTCTATTCTTCCTGTTAGGAACTCCACAGTAGTCGCAGAGTAGGTGAGCTTAGTGTGTTGGAGTTTAGAAGGGACTGCATGGCCTGTTTGACTAACATCGTCCAGAAAATTCAAGATAAGAGCCCATTGAAGTACACTGTTGTGAGGCAGATGGCATGTTTGGACCCAGAAAACATGTTCTCAGACCCTAACTTGTGCCAGGAAAGAATGAAGCGACTTGTTCATAGGTTTCTACAAGACCACCAGCTGCCAGGAGGCATCTCTGCTGGTATTTAAGTTTTCAGAGATCTAGCAGAATGTACACGGTCACATTTACCTGAAGCTTGTTTTCACACAATTTAGCAGTGATAGGTTTGTCTGATTCATAATTCATTATGTTATTTGTGTTATTTATTTTATCTTAATCTGTTTTACAACAGGTGATGTAATTGTCCAGCAGTTTGGAAACTTCTTGTCTCTGGAGGCAAAATCAGAGTCATTGTCTTCTTTCCAACCCATGAAGACGAGGCTGGATGTTTTCCTGCATGGACTCCTCCATCAATCCTACTCTGAGCTCTGGACTTTCTGCAGGAAACGTCTGCTCCTCTCCCATGGCCAAGCAACCGTGGAGAGGGCCTTTTCTATTAACAAGGAGGTAGAGGCCGATAACATGCGGGAGGACACCGTTGTTGCTCAGAGGATGATATGTGACTATGTCTCTGTCTGTGGGGGGGTTCTAAAAGTTCCTCTGATGAAGGAGATCCTGGCAGCTGCAGCTTCTGCAAGATCTCAGTATCGGCTACACCTGGACCAGGAAAAGAGAAAGCAGGAGAGCAATGCACAAAGAGAAAAGCTGCAGAGGACCACATTGAGCAGCTCAAAAAGAGGAAGATGGTAGTAGCTGAGGTGGCAAACAGCCTTGAAAAAGAAGCAGACAGTAAATCAGGTACACTCATGGCCCAGCTAATCACCAAGTCTAATATTCTGAGGAAGCGATACAAAGAAAAGGTTGCAGAACTAAAAGAGATTGAGACTGAGTTAGGAAATAAATCCGTAGAACTCAGGCATATGCCATAATGTCATACGGTGTAATATCCAGTTAACCATTTTCTATATCCTCTCTACCTTCTCAATGAAAAGGTCCGTTCCACATTTCTCATTTCAAATGAAAATTGTTCATTCACATTGTTATGAGTCAAATATTTGTATAAGGTAGACATGATAGTAATACAAGCCAGAACAGAAATCAACCTGTTATTCTGAGCTGGTTAATGATAGTAATTAATGTGGTACAGTGGCTTTTTTGCAGTTTAACAGCAGTTGAAATTGTTGTATTTTGTTTTCATTCATTATTTTTCTATTCATTTTCTCCTTCAAAAGAACAGTATTTCTCTAGCTATGTGGCAGCTGTCAATTTTGATTTCTTGGATATTGTATGCGGATATGAACGCTCACTGTATATTGCAATAATAAATAGCATTTGTGACCGTAATGATATTTTGTGATTTCTTTTTGTGTTTTATGTTTGTGTGTGTGTGTGTATGTGTATATATATGTGTGTGTGTGTTTCCATCGCATGTTTGGTCTTAAATTTCATGTAAGGTGGTATTAAAAAGGTCTTAAGTCTTAAATTTAACTTGTTCATATCTGTAGACACCCTGTGATGTAGGACCTCTAAGTTCTAAATGTTTGGCTTTTGATGGTCAAAGTGCGGTAGAGGGTTTAAAGGGCAAAAATGAAACCGTCAGTTTAGCAGAGACTCAATCTGAGTGGAAATTGCTAAATTATAAATGTGTGGACAAAAGACGGATAAAAAATTGTTTATTTGAAAATGCATGTCATCTGTCAGAAGTGTTAAGCTGGGCTAGAGTTAAAAGATAGAATGAAATTATGTTAAAAGTTTATGAAAAAGCAGTGTTACCAGCCCTGAATGCCTCAGTGGTGTCTCTCTCATTCAAAGTCAGCTGAATGCTGTTATAACAAGCTA